ATCAAGATAGCCGTTAACACTGTTAAATGATATATAAATCATCAAAGAATGGTAAATAGAGTGTTCGAATAAAGGACATCGTGTAGCATAGCTCTCAGCGAATGCTGTCCTATAAATAACTGAATAAATAAATTAATACATTATGTAATAAAATGCCTCCGACGGGATTTGAACCTGCGAATCTCGCTGTCAAGGCGAGCGTCATAACCATTATACCTCAAAGGCTTCGTGGTTCAACAGATTCAAGTAACCACCAGGTACACTGAATTTTACAATAGGTACAGCTGGAAATAAATAGCAGCATATAAAAATATTCTCAAACGCATATAGTAGCATATAATTATTTATTTATTTATAGGACAACATTCGTTGAGAGCTATCTATGACCTTACTATCATACCCTTTATTCGAACACTGTATTTACATTTCTTTGATGACCAGAACCTTTTCGGTGCATCACGTCTTCTCACCACAGTGTAATTGTTTTTAGTTTGATGTCAAAATTGTATCATCACACACGTAAAAATACCATAGTCCATATAACTAATTCAAGTTGAAATACTATATTGGTATATTGTAATTTATTTTGGAGTGTGAGGTATAAATCTTTGTGGTTAAGATGATTACCAATTCCAGAATCCTGGGTGAGAATTCTGCAAACACTTTCTTTTTACGTCCAAAACAAAATTAACTCCGGCCTGTAGCCTTATATTGAGACTTAATAGTGGTATTCGACAGGCCAGATGTGTATAAGAGACAGAATCGGTATAGAGACCAGAATAGATGAACTGCAGAGAAGTGTGATTCTGAACACATCAAGGATCCTCAGGAAGGTCCTAGAAGTTTGAGAAGACTTGTTATCACCAAGCTTCAGGAATAATGTAATTCCATTGGATATTGATCCAATGTGCGATACCAATAATAATAATAATAATAATAATAATAATAATAATAATAATAATAATAATAAAATAAATAATAATAATAATGACATTGCAGCGTTCGTAAAATGTTTAAATGTTTGTCACTGGTGCTGGGAACAGCCACAAAAGTGGGAGGGGGAGACAGTTCCCCCAGTAGAAAAAGTGGGTGGCCAATCCCCCCCCCCGGCTCCCCCGCTTCCGCCGCCGTTGCCGTGAACAACGCTTCCCAGTACGTCTGCTAATTTTTAATGGTCAGGCTACCGCGATCACGAGCCCTATGCTAGGCATAGGAGGGTTATGTGGGCTGGGATTTGCAACAAGGTCTTGGACTAGACCGCTATACTATAGTAGGAGGCCTGGTCCTAGTCTAGGCCTATAATATAGTAAAATTCTGTATAAGTAGTCATATGATTACAGATTTACATTGTACCAAGGTCGATATTAACGATCACCTTTATTTTTCATTGAAAAAAAAATAAATAAAATAAATAAATTTAACTTAAGGATTTTAAAATATTCCAAACCTGTACGCTTAAAAAAAAAAAAAATAAAAAATAAATAAATAAAGTTAACTTAAAAAACAAACAACGCGATAGGATGTAAAGTTTGAGAGAATAATTGGTATGCTGTACTGTATTTCTGAAGTGCCATTCGTTTTGGGGCTGCTACAATCAGGAGTTACAATCGACCTAACAAAGGAAAAGCACTTACATTCCAAAAAGGAGGATTTGGGATGCTATTTAAAGTTTGCTGGAGATTGAAAAGTTTACTGTTTAACTGCGTTGTTAGAGAACATGGAATGGTAGGCCTACATGACGTTCGGACTGGTATGGCCTACAGTACGGTAGGCCTATGTACTCTAGGTGTAAATAAATAGAGAGAATAGGCCAATTTTAGTGAGAACTAAACATGTTTTAATAACGTAGGGCCTATATACAATGCAAAGCAGATTGATCACAAAATCAGAAGCATGATCTCAAACATATCAGAACCCAGCTTTTATTGTTTAAAACTGTCGGGGCCCCATTGAATGAAACTACGGTATTATAGTTTATATTATATTTTTTTTAAACTACAAGTCGGGGGCCCTCGTGCCTGGGGCCCTGGCGCTCGGCCGCCCCCCCCCCCCACCTGTCAGCGCCCGAGCGTGACGCCACTGATTGTAATACCTCCTGATTGTAGCAAAACGAACGGCACTTCAGAAAATACAGTACCGTACAAGTAGGCCTGTACCAATTATTCTCGCAAAATTCATATCATATCGCGTTGTTTGTGTTAAGTTAACTTCTTTTTTTTTTTATTTTCAATGAAAAATAAATGCGATCTTAGTATCGACCTTGGTACAATGTAAACCTGTAATCATATGACTACTTATACAGAATTTTACTATATTATAGGCCTAGACTAGGCCTCCTACTATAGAGGCCTAGTCCAAGACCTTGTTGCGAATTCCAGCCCGCATAAGCCTGTAAGTCTATAATGCCTTGCATAGGGCTCTTGATCGCTGTACCCTGACCATTAAAAATTAGCAGACGCACTGGGAAGAGTTGTTCACGGCATTGGACCGCAGCGAAAAATGATTCCCCATCATTAATGGAACAAGCCCACGTCACGCTTGGCTGACTAGACGCAGGGTTCCTGGAACGCCGCCCTCAGCGGCGTGTGCGAAGTACAACTCAGAGTTAGGAGTGGAACGTGAAATTTCGATAATATGGTTTCGAAGTCAGATTTGCGAGAAAAACTTCAGCTACCCGTATTTCTCGACTGAGACGTCAGTGGGAGCTGTAATTTGTATGGCAAAATTGTTAGCATTATATAATACTTAAACAAGGTACGTCTGC